TAATTATAATGATTTACTGATTGATATTAAAGTGATTACCTGGTAGATCTTGGCATCCCTCATTAGTTTCTCTACTGGATATTCACTATTGAACCCATTACCACCAAAGATCTGCACTGCATCTGTGGCTGCCTTGTTTGCCACGTCAGCCGCAAACGCCTTAGCTATTGATGCAAAGTAAGTGTTCCTTTTTCCTTGGTCGATCTCCCATGACGACCGGTATGTGAGGAGACGGGACGCTTCAATGCCGATTGCCATGTCAGCCAGCATGAATGCAACAGCTTGATGCTACAGAAGGATGTAATAGTTATTTTAAAAAAAATAATTGAAAACAAGCCAAATATTTAACTAGAATTAAAATATATTTATAACACAAATTAAATAATAACAATGCTCATAATGTCCCTAAACTATGATGCATAGTCCCGGTAGGGCAGTGATATGTGAGTTACTAGGACCTTAGTAGAGTAACGTCACTACCCCTTGTTGCATAGTTTGGTTGGGTTTATATTTTTCTTTTAGAGAAAACAACACATATGCTAATGAATTTTTTTTTACGGACGAATAAAATATACCATATTGTATATTGATACTATTCATGCTTTGAATGTTGCATATCTTAGAATCTAAATATATAATACTCATTTGGTCTAGTAATGTTTTCTCTAATTTAGTTTTAATTTTATTAATTCAGCACAAAAAGTGTGAAGTATAAAATTTATAAAATTTTTTCCAATTTCTTGGTGTCATGAATCAAATATTTTAGAGAAAAAATAAACAAATGCATTTAGATAAAATAAATGCACTTAAAATCTCACCTCACAGATGTACCTGCCCATTGTTTTCCTCTCCATTGAGTACTTAGTAGCCTCCTCCAGGGCTCGCTGAGCTAGGCCTACAGCTCCGGCTGCAACCTATAGAAAACACACTGCACGATGTTATGTAGGACCTTCAACCTAAATCCTATTCTTCCTGTTTCTACATGACACATAAGCTAGACCCTGACCTAGGCCTATGGGCCTGGACTTACGTGGCCAATACTGTACTTAATAGGAAAACATATTTCTTGAATTGTATGATACACATAATGTGGAGTTTGAATTCATTGTATATCTTAACACTCTTTATAGAGCATGACCCTTACAGCTAGACCATTACATCATGTATTAAAGATATACAACCTGTCAAAATTCAATCCTAGCCAATTTAAAGACCCATGATTTTAGAAACACAGGTGGCATTTAAGACCATGGTTAAAATTGAAGTGAATACTTATTGTCTGGTTGGGATAGTGTTATTAAGTTAATTTGTCTGTAGTGTTTACATCAGTGCTCTATGACTGCATATCCCATACCTCTATTTAGGTGACATAAGCAAACATATATGGCACATTTTAAACTGCTAATTTATTTTTGAAACTTTAGTAAAATAACTTCTTACTGGTGGTCTTGTCTTGTCAAAGGCACCCATTGCAACCTTGA